TTGCGGGTGGGGGTGATTCTTTATGAAAATCCTCTTTCTTCTGTTTCTTTACTACTAGTAGTGCTAAATAGCAGTAACTCGGATGATTCTGGATGCGACATCGCATTTCCCTTTATTAGTAACATGGTCAATACAAGTAGTACAGTTGTGCGTGGAGAGATGGGATGGGGGAGGGTGACGGCAAGGTTGTGATGCATGCGCATGCCGGTGGCCAGCGCGGCGGCCATGGTGGCCACGCCCACGCGCTCTCTAGATGAAACCCAATCCCAGAATAACTCCCCGGGGTGGCTTCTTTCTTTCGATTTACAGTTGCCGATGGGGGTGGGGGCTGATTCCTTGTGAAAACCCTGCCTGTTTCCTCTGTTCCTCTGCTAGTGCTAAATAACCCACATGATTTCTTGGGTGGTGTCTGCACTGCACGCGCTCTCGGTGAGGTCGAGGGAGCTATTCGACACGCCGCAGAATCGGCCGCCGGCGGGGTGGTCAGTGCCGGCGGCGTAACGAGCATCGGGGGTTTCTGCAGGTCACCACGTCGAGCCGTCAGTTGGCAGAGGGGAGGCCCCGCCCCCACGGGCCATGGGGACGAGGATAGGACGCAGCGTGAGGATGGCGAGCTGGGGCGAGCTCAGCTCCGCCAGACGAGAGAAATCGGGCTCCTGGAGAAATCTTCATTTTCTTTTGTCCAATCCATCTCTAATCCTCCTCTCATCGATTAGTTATGGTTTGAATCAAAGTTCATTTTTCTTAACTAAGAAAGAATAGACCTCCCCCTAAGCAAACCCTAGCCACCGCACAGATCTCCTCCTCGTTTGTTCGGGCAATGGAGGCGTCGGTGCGGTGGAATAAGTAACTCCGGCCCCTCCACGTTGCGGTGAAGCTGGTTCTAGCATCGCCGCATGGCGCGTGAATATTATTCTTCACAGATCCGATCCGTCGGGTTGTGGGGGAGGGTTGTCAAACAACAATGCTTATGCGGTTATGCCTTGGTTCGTGGTGGCTTCAGTGGTCTCGTCAATAAGATCCTGCGGCGGTGTTTTCGGCATTGATGTGGGATTGGGTCTGCTTGTCCTGTCTTTGCCTTTTTCTCCAGGTTGATTGCTCGCGCCTCATATTGTCGTTGTTGTTGTCCCTTGGCAACGTCCGGTTACTTCCCGACTGCAGTTACAATGACTCCAAGGCTACGGTGATTAGGAGCGGGAGTTGTATCGAGCCAGGCTCAAGGCAAGCTATCAATATATGCAGGTTGGGATAGGATGACAAATTCCCCTCGGGCCGTTTGTAGTCTTAGTCTTTATCAAGGAGTGTTCTTGTAAAGCTTGGACTTGGTTAATATATAGCTTGTGCCCTATGAAAAAGTTAAGAAGAATAAAAGTTCCAAATTCACATTGAGGAGTACATGAAATAGGGTCAAGTAAAAGTATTCTTATTCTTCATGATTTAATGTCCTCTTACCACCTATCACTATAAATTAATTTTGCACTGCAGCGGGGCTGCTAAAAGGATGGGCACGACTTTTGGAAGCTCCAAGCTGCAGGATGAGCAATACTACAAGCATTTGGATGATGAAAGGAAGTATTTCTTGGTGCTTATGTTGGGTGATTTCGAAGATGCGATGGTAACCCTATTACCTTTATGTGTTTTTCTAAGACCAATGATGTTTCTAGTACTATGTACTACTTTAAATTCTGTGTTGCAGTCAATTCCTTCGATGGGCAAATTATTCAGTTAGTTTACACGAATTTCCACATAGTTTTTTTTGGGCAATTACAAGTAAGATCCACACGAATTTCCACATAGTTTTTTTGGGCAATTACAAGTAAGATCCAGAACGACCCCCGCATAGAAATCCAGAACGACCCCCGCGTCGCCTCCCAGGCGACTCGGGGGAACCCTAGCCCGCCGCGCCGCCACCCCCTCTCCCCGGCTCCTCTGCCGCGCCGCCGCCGGAGGAAACCGCCGGGCGAAGCCCGCGCGGCGGACGGCGGCGGCGGGGCTTCCCGCTCGCGCGCGCGGCGTCGTTCCACGACGGCGACCGCTCCAGGTGGGGAAGGCTCGGCCTCCGGCGCTGCGGCCGTCGCGGCGCTCCCCGGCGGCCCTCTGCTTCGTCTCGCGCTTCTCCTTCTCTGGGTGGGTGGAGTGGCGTGGCCTGGAGCTTGGCCGGCCGTGGCTGCGGCGTAGGCGTGCGGGTGCTTAGGCGTCAGATTTGGTCCGCGCCCGATCTGGCCCGCCGGCTGCTGTTGGCGGCGAGGAAGGGATCTGGCGTGGTGGTGACGCCCCATAGCGCCGCCGCCGCACCCCTCGCCTCCCCTCCCTATGCTGCCGCCTAAGGGCCTCCCAATGATGCGATTTTGGTGGTCGGGATCCAGATCGGGGGAAACCCGGGTCGGCTACGGCCGGCCGCGACGACGACGACGCCTGCGGGCGCCGATTTCTTCATGGAGACGTCTGTCAAGGTCTGCCCTTCCACTCCCCACCACCTAGCTTCTCGGGTGAAAACCTAACTCCGGTGGGCGGTGGCGGCGTCTTTGGCGCCGTGACCTTCTTGAAGGCGCCGCCTTGAGGGCTGGGTGGTGGCGGGCGCTGTTTGGGGTGGGTAACAGCTGCTGACGGCGTGCCCTTCTTCGCCCAAGCCTCCGCTTTTCCTCCGACGCGTCCAGGTTCTCCTGGGGGTGCCGTTTTGGAGTAAGCGTTGGCTGGGGGGAGGGTGGAGCGGTGCTCCATCTCACTCATTGATGGCGGCGGATGTCGGCGGCGTGGCGCTGTGGAGGCTCGACGTCCGATGCACGGAGATGGACTCGCGCAGGAGGAGGTTGCTGTTTGGCGTCATGGTGGCGTCAATGGCGGAGTGGCCAGACATGGTAGATGCCTCAATTTGATCTGAAGACGGACCTGTGGAAGATGGCGGCGACGACACACGAGTGCGTCTGACCGGATTATGCCCCAGACCAGGTATGTGGCTCGGCTGGGGCTTCTGAATGTGTTTCGGCTTCCGGCTATTGATGTTAGGATTACGTGAGTGGTCTGGGTAGTGGCCCGGCTAGCTCTCTTTCATCATATTGGATAGGAGTAGTGGCATATGTTGCCAAGATGGTGGATTCAGGCACATTGGTGTAATACTTTGTATGGTCATCGTGAATAATCAATAAAGTGGCCGTATGCATCTTCCAGATGCAGAGGCCGGGGTCATCCTCCTTTTCTAAAAACAAGTAAGATCCACAGTCATTATCCTTGTTGTTTCTAAGATTAAGATACTGGTCAGGTAAGAGTCTAAGAGAGGCAAATACGACATACCTCCATTATAACTAGTGTCATTTGGATCTTGCACATAGACTTTCCATCCGAAAATATTCTATTTTCTGCAGATTTTTTTTGATAAAGGTAATATTTTTTTATATTTTTTTTTTGATCAAAGAAGGGCTTGCCCCCCTTCCGATTTTAAAAACCATTCTTACAGAGTTCAGACGAAAGACAAAGGTAATATATTGATATCAAGATTTCTTTCTGCAGATGATCCCAGAAGAAGTTGTGCGGCGTTTCAAAGGTGAGATTCCAGGAGAGATCAAGCTAGAAACCCGAAATGGTTACAGTCACGCTATTGTGGTTGCCAAGAACCAAGAAAAGCTTGTCTTTACGGTGGGTTGGCGACAGTTTGTTGAAATCTATGATCTACAGATTGGTGATTCCTTAATGTTCAGATACAAAGGGAACTGTCAGTTTAATGTCATGATCTTTGATAAGCATGGTCGTGAAAAAGCATTATCGGTTGTTCTGGATCCTTTTTTGCATCCGGTCCAAGACAGGAGCAATGAGGCACATGAAATCGGGTTAAATACTAGACTTTATTATTCACTGCTTCATTTCATTTCCTGGTACCAAATTTCACTTGAAATAAATTTTGCACTGTAGGTCTTCTAAAAAGATGGATGTGCCTTGGGAAAGATGCAAGAGCCGGACTGAATATCACTATGCAAACTTGGATGATGAGAAGAAATATTTCTCGGTGCATATGATGGGCGATTTTCAACATGAGATGGTAAATTCATATTCAAAAACAGTAACACCCATTTATCAGTTACTCTGTTGTTTTTCTGTATACCAATTATTTTTGTACTCTCTAGTGGCTTTAGAGACATACACAAACTATATGTATTCTTTGCAACTTTTGTTCATGTCTCATGTTAATTTGATGCCTGGATTGAATCCAGCATGTTAGCACGTTTAGTGATGTTTGTTTACAAAAAGTCCTCATAGTTTAAAGTAAAGATATGCTTTTGACAGTCACATTGTTACTATGATACTAGTCTTATTTATTTCCCTTGGTATGTCAGGTATATTGAACAGACAAATTTGCTTTGATTATAGAGAGTATATTTTTTTTAATCCTGTTTACAGTCCATTTTTCAAACAAAAATATTGCTTATTTCTCTCCAGATCATCCCAGAAGAGTTTGTTCAGCGTTTCAAGGGTGAATTCCCAAGAGAGATGATACTTGAAACACAAAATTGCCGCAGTTACGTAATTGGAGTTGCCAAGAACAATGGAAATCTTGTCCTTACAGTGGGATGGGGGAAATTTGTTGGGACCTTTGGTCTAGAGATGGGTGACACCATAGTATTCAGATACATTGGGAACTCTCGGTTTAATGTCATAATCTTTGATGAACTTGGCTGTGAGAAGGTATCATCAGTTTATGTGGATCCTTCTCCGCCTCCTGTGCAAGAAAGGTGAACAAGTGCTACTTATAATGTGAAAAGTTCTCATTTTCATCTTGAGGCCATACAAACGCAGCCATTTAGCACTGGGAAAGGGACGCCAATGGAGTCACCACGCCTCCAAATGGAAATGGACAAGTCATGTCAAGACAACAACACCGTGATAAGTGTTTCCTCCCGCGAGTCATCAGGTCTCAGCCCGCGAGTCAAGACAACAACACCGTACCCTTGCCAATCATTCTCATATTTGTATAGCTGATATTTAGTTGTTCTGTTCTCTTTGCACAGGAAATTATTTCTCCCCTGAAGAAGAATATGGGGTACTTGAAGTGCCTGGTTCCGATTTCAACGTCAGGAAGAAGAAGGCCAGGCTATCTTCAAATCAGAAGCAGCAGTTAAAGGATGGTTACTTTACCGGCCAAAAGACCAAATTGACTTCAACTCAGAAGGAAGCGGTGAAGCGGATGGTCCGATCCATATACTCAGAGATCCCCATCTTCGTTGTTGTGATGCGCAAGTGCAACGTTGTTGCAGAATTCTATCTGGTTAGTTCCAGTTTTTTTTAATGTGTGTTCTGCACCAATCATGTAGGTGCCTGAGTAAATTGTAAAGTGCTGCTTATGGAATATTAATGAAAAAACTATCTGATAATGTAAATTCATAACCAGTCATCTTTGAATTTAAATACAGGCTGTTTGCTACTATCATACAAATTTAGGAAGCAATTTAACATGTTATTTTACAGAGTTTTCTTGCCATTATCTACTAACTCTTTTGTTAACTGTAAACAGGCTTTTCCTAGACACTATGCTAAGAAATATCTCAGAGAGGAGCCGCAGTCTCTTCAGCGGCCGGGCCGCATCGGGATGTGGCCGGTGCGCTTTTGTGAAAACAATGGCGGTAAAAGGCTCAAGATTGGACGGAAACAGTTTGTAGAAGACACCAAGCTGGAGATGGATGACATATGCCTCTTTAAACTGTTGAGCACTGAGAGAACCATGCAGGTCTATATCATCCAAGCAAATTATCGGGCAGGTCCCCAGAATGGCGCTGACCGGAGAGGGGCTCCGGCTCATCGTGCTGATGGAGCGTGTGATCCTGGCTCAAGGTTGCTTCACATCGCTAAAACTGAAGCTATGGAGGATGATGTTGTTGGCCCTGATGGTGCCTGATCGCTGAAGCAAAAATCTGGCCTCTGTTACATTGTAGTAGCAACTTGAAACTGTTGTGGTGCTATCCTATCTACCTCTGTATTTTGTTCGTTATCTTGGCAGGCCTGGGACTCCTCTGGCTGTAGTTTTAGCCGCCTTTTAGTTTCCTGTTGCACCTCTTGATGCTGCTCTTGTGCTCGCGGTTTATTTCTTTATCGTGATGGAAAACGATGGATGCCGAATTGATCGATATGCCATGCTGCAGAATGCTGATGTTGCCGAATTCCCTGACAGCAGTGGACTGGTAACGTTTCCTCGTTGTTTGGGCGCGCTAGAGCGGCGGCACCGTCCAGCAACAGGAGACAAACAGCATGCTGCATGCAGCTGCGCCAGATGGCCAACATACAGGGCACACGACAGCATGCAAGCAGCACGTACACCACCATGCATTTACATGCCACGCAACATCATAGGACACATTGAAACTAGTACGGCATAGTTTATGAATTAGCATGTAAATTTATTTAACTTGGTTTCCAGCGTGAAAAAACAGCCAAAGAAAGCCCACGGAACGAAGCAGAGAGGCTGGTAAAAAATGAAGGAAACATCAGTTTCTGCAGTAGCGTCGGCTTCAGTCGCTGCCGCGTGGACTCGGGTACAGGATGGACATGGTGGTGTTCTCGCTTTATCAGCTGGAGTGCCACCGTCCAGCAACATGCAGCCAGGCCAGATGGCCACGCCAGAACACAGGGCAGCATGCAGGCTCCACGTACACCACCATGCATTTACACGTCCCCGATACCAACCAGACCACCACGTCCACGTGTGCAGTTACCAGCAAACCTGCAGGAACGGAGGCATGCAGGCTCAGCTCATCAGTCAACAACGACGCTACAGAGATCCGACCCACCTATAAAACTGCCAACGCGAACACAGTCTCGTGTAATCTTTTGCGTCGTGCATCGGTGTGTTTATATAACAGAAGTCGGTTATACGGACGGAGTGCTATACTTTCAATTGACACCTATTACAGATTTACTACAATGATATACTCGTGCTGTGCATGATGTCATAGAACACAGCGTCAAGTTTCTACCGTGTTCTAATTAAAAAGACCACGCTTCGGTTGTTGTGAAGACAGTGAAACAACGAATGCTGAGGTCTTCTGTTCTTTTACATGAATGCTGAGGTCCTGGGGAGCTGGATTAGTACTGCTGGAGGAGCTCTCTTCGCTCACCGCGTGGTCATATCCTACAAGCAGAGTAGCAAGGCCAATCGGAGTGCAGTGAGAAGGAGAACCAAGGTGACAAGATAAGCAAGGTAAGAATCGCGAGATAAAATCTAAGCATTGTATTCCCACTCCCCGGGGTGGATTTTTTCGATTTACAGTTGTCGGTGTTGGGAGTGGGGGCTGATTCCTTGTGAAAACCCTGCCTGTTTCCTCTGTTCCTCCTCTGCTAGTGGTAAATAACCCAGAGGATTTTCACCATCCTTTCCTTGCATTGGGTCTTGGCGTGATTCTGGTTCCAACATCACATATCCCTTTCTCCATTAGTAAGCAGCGTCAGGTTGGAGAGCTGGATGATCTCAGCTCGGCCAGACGAGAGAAATCGGGTGGTCTCATGGAGATTTCTCTTCTTCTTGTCCAATCCATGGGCAAATCCTGTTCTGAACTTCCGATCGATTAGTTATGCTTTTTTTTTTTTGGTTCAGAAGATACAATGGAGGCACCTGGCAACGTCCGGTTTAATTACCTCCCAGCCGCAGTTACAATGACTCCATGGTTATGGTGATTCGGAGCAGGTGCTGTTTCGAGCTAGGCTCAAGGCAAGACATCAATTTGTGCATGTCGGGAGAGGATGGAAAATTCCCCTCGGGCCGTTTGTACTCTTATTACCATTATTCGTCAAGAGTCTATGGGACATCTACACCCTATATGGAATTGTTTTTAGTAATTCAATGAAAAGTTAAAAATTATGAAAATAGTTTTAAAATAAACTTGACCTTTCATTATACTCGTGAGAAAAATTCCACAAAAATAAAATTCCCCTTTGACTTCTTTTCAAAAAAGACAAAATTTTAGCCAAAATAGTGTGAATAGTGACATATAATAGCAAATAATTTTTGTATTTTTCACTATGAAGTCAACCTTGTTTTTTTTGTGCAAACGTAAGTCAAGTTTATTCTAAAAATAGTTCTTAACTATTTTGACTTTTTGTTTAATTATTAAAAAGAAATCCCCATATAGGGTGTATATACAACCAGGAACCAAAGTGTATTTGCTCTTTTAAAGCTTGGACTTGGTTAATATATAGCTTGTGACCTTGAAAAAAAAATGAAGAAAGGATCAAGTACCAAATCTACATCGAGGAGTGCTCCCTCTGTGAAGTAAATCCACATTCAGGGAGTACAAGCACAAGTCTTCTTTTTTCGATTTTAATACAAGTCTTCTTATTGTTCATGACAGCATGTCCTTTTACCACCTATCACTGTTAATTAATTTTGCACTGCAGAGGGACTGCTAAAAGGATGGACACGTCTTTTGAAAGCTGCAAGCTGCGGGATGAGCAACACTACAAGAATTTGGATGATGAAAATCAGTATTTCTTGGTGCTTATATTGGGCGATTTCCAAGATGCGACGGTAACCCTATTATATATCTGTGTTTTTTTAAGACCAATGATATTTGTAGAAATACTTAGATTCTGTGAATTACAGTCAATTCATTATTTTTCTGCGAATCACAAAGATTGGACCACAAGTAAGATGACTAAATCTAAAGTAAGATCACATAATCAATTCAGTTAGTTTGCAAAAATTGGACGGCAAGTAAGATCCAGAGCCATTTCCCTTGTTTTTCTTAAGATTAAGATACTGGTGAAGTGTGAGAAAGGCAAAGACGGTACGCCGTTACTAAGATACTGGTCAAGTTTGGTCAAGTGTGTCATTTGGATCTGCGCATAAACTGTCTATCCGAAAAAAAATCTATTTTTCTGTAGATTTTTTTGATAAAGGTAATATATTGGCATCAAGATTTCTGTCTGCAGATAATCCCAAAAGATGTTGTGCCGCATTTCAAAGGAGAGATCCCAGGAGAGATCAAGCTAGAAACTCGAAATGGTTACACTCACACTATTGTGGTTGCCAAGAACCAAGAAAAGCATGTCCTTACAGTGGGTTGGCGGCAATTTGTTGAAAGTTATGATCTACAGGAGGATGATTCCTTAATATTCAGATACAAAGGGAACTCTCAGTTTAGTGTAATGATCTTTGATAAGCTTGGTCCTGAAAAAGCATTTTCAGTTGTTCTGGATCCTTTTTTGCCTCAGGTCCAAGACAGGTGTAACGAGGCACATGAAATCGGGTGAAATACTAGACTTTATTATTCATGTCTTTATTTCCTGGTACCAAATTTCACTTCAAATGACTTTTGCGCTGCAGGCATTCTCAAAAGATGGAAGTGCCTCCGAAAAGAAGAAAAAGCCGGATTGAATATCACTACGCAAACTTGGATGATGAGAAGAAATTTTTCTTGGTGCTTATGATGGACAATTTTCAACATGAGATGGTAAATTCATATTCAAATACAGCACCACTCCCTTTTATCAGTTATCTTGTTGTTTTCCTGAAGACCAATAAATTTCTACTTTGTAATTTGTATTAAATTATATGTAGTCTTTGCAATTTTTGACCATGTCTCTTATTAATGATGCACGGATTGAATCCAGCGTATGGTAGCACATTCAGAGATGTTTGTTTGCAAAAAGTTTCCTCATAGTTCAAAGTAAAGATACTATGCTTTTGTCATCACATCATTCCTATGATAGTAGTCTTCTATATTTCCCTTGGTATGTTATATAGTCAGATTTATTGAACGGACAAATTTTCTTTGATTATAGAGAGTATCTTTTTTTAATCCTGTTTACGGTCCATTTTTCAAAAAATATATTTAATTGTTCCTCTTCAGATCATCCCAGAAGGATTTGTTCAGTGTTTCAAGGGCGAATTCCCAAGAGAGATGATACTTGAAACACAAAATCGTTGCATTTATGAAATTGGAGTTGCCAAGAACAATGAAAAGCTTGTCCTTACAGTGGGATGGGGGAAATTCGTCGACACCTTTGGTCTAGAGATGGGTGACGCCATAGTATTCAGATACAATGGGAACTCTCAGTTTAATGTCATAATGTTTGACGAACTTGGTTGTGAGAAGGCATCATCAGTTTTTCTGGATCCTTTTCCGCCTCCTGTGCAAAAAAGGTGCACAAGTGCTACTGATACTGTGAAAAGTTATAATTTTCATCCTCAGCCCATACAAATGGTACTGCCAGAGTCACCACCAACGAAAAGGGGTGCCATACAAACGCAGTCATTTAGCACAATGAAAGGCATGCCAATGGAGTCACCACGCCTCCAAATGGAAAGGGACAAGTCATGTCAAGACAACGACACTGTGATAAGTATTTCCTCCGGCGAGTCATCAGTAATTATAGATATACCTTCCCTTGCAAATCATTCTCATATTTCTGTAGCTAATACTTAGTTGTTCCGTTTTCTTTGCACAGAAGATGATGTCCCCTCTGAAGAAGTACGTGAAGTGACTGGTTCCGATTGCATCGTCTGGAAGAAGGTACGATCTTCATTTCAGAAGGAGCAGTTGAAGGGTCGTTATATTACCACCCACAAGAGTAGGCTAACTTCACCTCAGAAGGAAGTGGTGAAGCAGAAGGTCCAATCCATACAACCAGAGATCCCATTCTTTGTTGCCGTGATGCGCAAGTGCAACGTTGTTTTAGAATTCTTTCTGGTGAGTCATTTTCTTTCGATCATGTAGGTGCCTGCTTAAACAGTAAAGTACTGCTTGTGGAATACTAATGAAAACGCTATCTAATAATGTAAATTCATAATCAGTCACTATCTCTGAATTTAAATACAGATTGGAGATTGCTTCCTAATATCGTACAGTACAAATTTAGCAAGCGATTGAACATGTTATTTGACAGATTTTATTGCCATTATATGCTAACTCTTTTGTTCACTGTAATCAGGTTTTCCCAAAACGCTATGCTAAGGCATATCTTAAAGAGAAGCGACACTTGTCTCTTCAGGTGATGGGCAAGGAGTGGCCGGTGTGGTTTCGTGAAAACAGTTGCGATAAAAGGCTCGGAAATGGGTGGAAACGGTTTGTAGAAGACAACAAGCTGAAGATGGGTGATATGTGCCTCTTTCAACTGTTGAGAGATGAGAGAACCATGGAGGTACATATCATCCCCGCCGCAAACGATGCCACTTACCGGGCAGGTCTCCAAAATGGTGCTGACCGGGAAGCGGCGTTCCGGGGAGGGGCTCCTACTCATCATACGGATGGAGCGCGTGATCCTGACACAAGGTTGCTTCGCATCACTAAAACTGAAGCTGTGGAAGATGATGTTTGTTGCCCTTGATGGCGCCTGATCGCCCAAGGAAAAATATGGCGTGGTGTCTAAACCGAGCATGCATAGTGCTGTTTTTGCGCTCTGGGGTTAAACGAGCGATCCTATGTGTCGATCATAAGGCCTGGGTTACATTGTATGGTAGAAACTTGAAACTGTTGTGGTGCTCGATCTACCTCTGTATTTTGTTTGTTATCTTCGCAGGCCAAGGCCTGGAACTCCTCTGTTTGTAGTTTTAGCTGCCTTTTGGTTTCCTGTTGCACCTCTGGATGCTGCTTTTGTGATCGCGGTTTATTTCGTTACGTGGTGATGATAGTGGAACCCGCTCCTTCGTGGTCGTTTGGAAAACAATGCATGCCAAATTGATGCCATGCTGCTGAATGCTGATGTTGCCGGATTCCCTGACGGCAGTGGACTAGTAATGCTTTCTTCTTGGTGGCAGGGAGCCAGCGCTAGAGCGCCACCGTCCAGCAACTGGAGACAAACAGCATGCAGCTGCCAGATGGCCACGCCAGGACACGCGGCAGCATGCAGCTTGCCAGATGGCCAACATACAGGACACAGGACAGCATGCAAGCACCACGTGCACCACCATGCATTGACACGCCACCACGTCCCCATGCCACGCCCACAGTTACCAGCATCCAATATTGACAGTCCCCCAGCAGAAAAATAAAATGGAATGAACAAGGAATGGAGGCATATGCAGGTTCAGCTCATCAACGACGCTACTGCACAGACCCGACCCATCTTAAATTACCAACGAAACACAGTCCTGTAACCTTTGTTCCAAACGATACCAAAATATTTTTATCTATGGAAATCTTATTATCCTTCAAAATCTTCGTCTTTTTATTCGCAGGTTCTTTTTATTCCTCTTGTATATTCCAGCTTAAGTATCTTCCTTAATTATCCTAGAAGACCGCGCTGAGAGACAATGCATTAACTCAAATAAAAAGCAGCTCACGGGGACGGGGCCTCGGGTGTCATGAAGACAGTGAAACAACAAATGCTAAGGCCGTTTCTTTTTACTGTAACAAACAAACACTCAGTCTTCGAGAGCTGGATTAGTACTGCTGCACGAGCTCTCTCCGCTCAGCGCGTGGTCACATCCTACTAGCACTGGCAGAGTAGCAGGGCCAAGCGGAAGGCAGCGAGAAGGAGAACAAAGCTGACAAGATAAGCAAGGTAAGAATTACTGTACGAGATAGTAAAATCTAAGCACCGTAATCGTAGTCCCAATCCCAGAATAAATCTCCTAACGACTTCTTTCAATTTAGTTCGATCTCCATGGGTAGTGGGGGCGATTCTTTCTGAAAACCCCGTTTCCTCTGTTCCTCTGCTCGTGCTGAATAACCCAGACGATTTTCACCATCCTTTCCTTAATTAGGTCTTGGGCGTGATACTGGATCCAACATCACATTCACATATCCCTTTCTCCATTAGTAATGTCAACACAAGTACATTTATGCGTGTGTGGGAGACGAGGGACATGCGTCTTTCCTGTGGCCACGCCGTGTTGGTCTGGGGTCGAGGGAGCTCTCCGACACGCCGGAGAATCGGCTGCCGGCGGGGTGGTCGGTGCCGGCGGCGTAACGAGCATCGGGGGTTTCTGCAGGTTACCACGTCGAGCCGTCAGTTGGCAGAGGGGAGGCCCCATGGGCCATGGGGACGACGGGGGTAGGAGGCGGCGTGAGGGGTCTCATGGAGATTTTTGTTCTTCTTGTTCAATCCATCCCAAATCCTGTTCTGATCGATTTGTTATGGTTTGAATCAAAGTTCCTTTCTTCTAACTAAAGAAAATACTTTTCCCTGCAAAAAAAGAAAAAAAAACCTAGCCGCCCCACAGATCCATGGCAGATCTAGTTACCCACAATACTTCCGCGTCGGCTTGAGGCGGCGTTGGCGGTCTTGTAAATAAGATTCTTCGGCGGTGATGGGTCTCCTTATCCGGCCTTCGCATTCTTCTCCGGGTAAACAGCTCGTGCCTCGGATTGCTGTTTGCTGGTGTCCCCTTGCAATGTCCGGTGATTGATCCGGCCGAAGTTACAATGAATCCCTTACTCCGGTGATGTGGAGCAGGTGCGGTATGGAGCTAGGCTCACGGCGCGCCATCAGGAGAGGGCGAATAATTCCCCTTCGGCCGGTTTGTAGACTTTCTTCGTCAAGAGGTGCTTGGACTTGGTCAATTTACAGCTTCTTTTGAGAGGAAAGAATACACAACTTCTAGCCTTCGCAAAAAATAAAGAAAATATCAATGTTCCAAATTCACATTGAGGAGTAGTACATGGCATTGTGTCAAGTTCAACAACAAAAAAGAGTACATGTCTGCTTATTGTTCACGACTTCAAGTCCTCATACCATATATCATTGCTAATAAATTTTGCATTGCAGGGGGAGGGCTGCTAAAAACATGTGCACGTCTTGTGAAAGATTGAACCTATGGGATGAGTATCGCTACAAACTTTTGGATGATGAGGAGAAGCATTTCTTGGTGCTTATGTTGGGTGATTTCCGAGATGCAATGGTAACCCTATTATCTATCTGTGGTACTACCTCCGTCTCGGTGAATAAGTCATTCGCGTAGTTCTAGGTTGACAATTTAACTATCTAAATATGTGTTATATGTGACAAAATATATATATTTAGAAACTACATTTGTGTAGAAATCTAGTGATATACTTTTCATGACATATAACACATATTTAATTGCTCAAATCGGTGACCTAGAACTACGCGAATGACTTATTCACCTAGACGGAGGTAGTATTTTTGTAAGACCATTGATGTTTCCACTTTATTCTACTTTAAATTCTGCGCTGCAGTCAGATTCCGCATAGTTTTTATTTCAGCAATTACAGGTAAGATCTACACTCATTTTCCTTGTTTTTTTGTAAGATACTAGCCAGGTATCATAAGACAAAGATACACCTTGATTGTAACTAGTGCCTTTTGGATCTTGTGCATAAACTGTCCATCCATCCAATCTTTTTTATTATATCTTTCTGCAGATATTCCCAGAAGAACTTGTGTGGCGTTTTTTTATTTCAGCAATTACAGGTAAGATCTACACTCATTTTCCTTGTTTTTTTGTAAGATACTAGCCATGTATCATAAGACAAAGATACACCTTGATTGTAACTAGTGCCTTTTGGATCTTGTGCATAAACTGTCCATCCATCCAATCTTTTTTATTATATCTTTCTGCAGATATTCCCAGAAGAACTTGTGTGGCGTTTTAAATGTGAGATCCCAGGAGAGATCAAGCTAGTAAGCCGAAAAGGTTACAGTCACGCTATTGTGGTTGCCAAGAACCAAGAAAAGCTTGTCTTTACAGTGGGTTGGAGGCAGTTTGTTGGACAGTATGATCTACAGATGGGTGATTCCTTAATATTAAAATACAATGGGAACTGCCAGTTTGATGTCATAATCTTTGATAAGCTTGGCCGTGAAAAAGCATTGTCGGTTGTCGTGGATCCTTTTTTGCCGCAGGTCCAAGAAAATCCCAACAAGGCACATGAAATCGGGTGAAATACCAGTCTTCACTATTCAGGCCTTCATTTCCTGGTACCAAATTTCACTTAGAATGGATTTTGCACTGCAGATCTTCTAAAAATATAGATGTGCCCTCTGAAAGATACAAAAGCTGGACTGATTATCACTACACAAACTTGGATGATGAAAAGAAATATTTCTTAATGGTTATGATGGGCAATTTTCAACATGAGATGGTAAATTTATATCCAAATACAGTAACACTCCTTTTTATCAGTTACTTCGGTGTTTTTCTTTAGACCAACGATTTTCTACTTTCTAATTTAGATTATGTTGAGTGGAGATATATAATGCTTTAGAGACATATACACAACTATATGTAGTCTTTGCAACTTTTGCTCATGGCTCCTGTTAATTTGATGCCTGGATTGAATCCAGAATGGTAGCACATTCAGTTATATTTATTTGCACAAAATTTTCTCATAGTTCAAATTATACCATGCTGTCAGGTATATAATATATTGAACATACAAATTCGATTTGATTATAGAGACTATATTTTTTTAATCCTGATTTCGGTTCATTCAAACAAAAATACTGGTTGTTTTCTCCAGATCATCCCGGAAGAATTTATTCGGCGTTTCAAGGGCGAGTTCCCAAGAGAGATGATACTTGAAACAAAAAATCGTTGCAGTTACATTATTGCAGTTGCCAAGAACCAAGAAAAGCTTGTCCTTACAGTGGGATGGGGCATATTCGTTAAAACCTTTGGTCTAGAGATGGGTGACACCATAGTATTCAGATACAATGGAAACTCCCAGTTTAGTGCCATAATCTTTGATACACTTGGCTATGAGAAGGCACTTTCAGTTGTGGATCTTTTTCCGCCTCTTGTGCAAGAAAGGCGCACAACTGTGAAAAGTTCTCATTTACATCCTCAACCCATACAAATGGTACTGCCAGAGTCACCACCAACGAAAAGGCAGCGACGCATCCAAATGGAAGTGTACGAGCCATGTGAAGGCAAAATCACTGCAATAAATATTTCCTCCGCCGAGCCATCTGGTCTCAGTTTACGATTATAGATATATCTTCCCTTGCAAACCATTCTCATATGTTTATGGCTATATTTAGTAGTTCTCTTTTCTTGGCGCAGGAGAGTCTTTCTCCTCTGAAGATAACCATGGAACACGTGATGTGCCTGGTTACAATTACATTCTCAGGAAGAAGAAGGCCAATCTATCTTCATTTCTTTTTGAAGGAGATTCTTTCTCCTCTGAAGATGGCCATGGAGGACGTGATGCCATTGTCAAGAAGGCGGCAAAATTAACTTCAGCTCAGAAGGAGCAGTTGAAGGATGGTTACATCACCGTGCACAAGACCAAACTAACTTCAGCTCAGAAGGAAGTGGTGAAGCAGAAGGTCCAATCTATACACTCAGAGATCCCCATCTTTGTCGCGGTTTATTTCGTTATCGCGAGGATAGTGGAGTCCGGTCCTATGCAGCCCTTTGGAAA